GAAGATGGGAGGAAGGAGGGGAACAGGGGAGAAAGGGAGGAGGAAGGAGGGAGGAGGAAAGAGGGAGGAGGGATTCGTTGCTTGACACCCACGGCCAATGACCTCACCTAACTGGGCAAAAAGATGGAAGGTCGACTGTGACTCCGAACCTCTTCGGGTGAAGCCCCTGCCGAGCTGTTTCCAACAAGTGCTATTGCGACTTCAGTGGCTTGCATGTTTTGCGCGAGCTTTGACAGCATAGCACCCATGTTGTAACATAGGTGTCGGCATATACATACAAAAGCCCCGTCACTAAAACCAATCACAAAACGTCGTTGTTCAATTTCGCGGAGATTCTTCGCAGGTTGGAAAAGGAATTGTCCCGAACAATGCCCAGGAGGGGGCATATCCTCAGAGCGGGATCCCACGATACACTCAGGGCATTGCGAGAAATTGCGCACCGAAGCCTGGGAAAAGAACAGGAGCAGAGGAGGAAACAGGGCGGGGGGGGGGGGCGGCACGGGGGGGGGGGGGAAAGGATGGCAGAGGAAATCTGGAGACGGGGTGAGCGAGGCTGGCCGCTGCTGCACCTCAGCGCAGGGGGGCGGCCCCGCAGCGGGGTCAATCACGCGATCGGGGTGCGTATTGAGCGGCCCCCGAGAGGCCACGGCTCTGATCCGAGGGCGAAACGCGACCGCCGCTGGGGGGCGGGGAGAAAGGCCGGCGCCGCATCGAGGACGACCAGCGCAAAATGACGCCCAAGGAGGAGGAGGAGGAGGAGGAGGAGGAGAAGGAGGAGGAGGAGGAGGAGGAGGAGGAGGAGCAGGAGGAGGAGGAGGAAGCCTTTACTGAGGCTCAGGCTGCCAATGAGAAATCGTCGAGCCGAAGGCCTCCCGGCGCCAGCACAGGCTCCGAGCGCGCCGGGGACGAGGGCGCCCTGGCTCTGCCGGAGGAACTCCGAGGTCTCAGTGGTGCTGGCTTCGAGGCGTAAGTCGCCGCCCAGGGGCCACGGCAGACCAGAAGCCGCGCCAAATCCCGCGCAGAGGGGCAGGGCTCGAACGTTGTATTCGCCAAGCCCTCCCCCGCTTCTGAAGTGGATGCTGGCGATCGCGGGACTCGCGCCACCCGGGATCTGGACGATGGCTCCTATCACGCGACCGCCACAAAGCTGGCGAGGCCCCGAACAACTTAGCCGAAGGAAATGACGGGCCAGGAGAGCCACCCCTCCTCGAGTACCCGAACCATCCCCCTGCAAGGCGGGCACCCACAAAGATTTCCACCCGCGCCGAGTGGACCGCCTGGAAGCTTGGTCCGGGTCCTGCGCGGAGCGCATACAGCGTCACTTGGGGCAAATGACGCGAGCTCTGGGCCGCTCGGCAATCCACATATTAGCCGAGCCCCAACCCGAGACATTCCCAGTGCAAGCGCGACAAGAGAGAAATCCTCAGCCTTGGGCTGGCAAAAAATAACAGCGTCGCGTTGGCCCCCCGAGCTCGGGCGGGGATGCTGGGAGCACGGGGCAAAAACGGAGCGGGGCCTAGACGGCGCCAAGGCCAGAGCTCCCCAGAATCCTCCGATGCCCGCCGCCGCGGCCTGCGGTCGGCCGACGTCGGAGGCCCGAGCTCGCACATCCGGGGACCCAGCGGGGGGTCCCGTGGCAGAGGAGCAGGCAGCAGCGGCTTCGCCTCGGGGGCTCCCCGGGGGGCTGCGGGGCCCGGGGCTGCCCAGCCCCGGGTCGTGGGCCGCTCTGTCCTGCTCCGCCCCCCCCCCCGCCGCTGCGCCGCCTTCGGCGCGTCTCTTCTTGGTGGCCTCTCTGCGAACAGTGATCCGTTCTCGGCGTTGATGGCGTCAGCCTTCTGAAGAGCTGAGACAAAAAAAGGCGGTTGTCCGATCCTGGAGGCTGGTTTCAAGCGAACGGACGAGGGTCTCCGCTGCGGCCGTGTCCTCTTCGCTGAGCTCCACTCCTTCAAGGTCGCCGATCTGCAGTGCGTCTCCCAACTCGATGAGCAAGTCCTCCAGCGAGCCGCCCAAGTTGCACCGAATCGAAAGCGCGGCTGGCTTTGGAGGCCCTAGCGGCGCAACTGCCGCGCGCAGGCGGTGCAGGAGACGCGTGTGTGTATCTCGTTTCTCTGCGAGCTCGCCAGATAGTTGCTTGACCTCGGCTCGCGACTTCTCCGATGTCGCCCCCATCGCGTCAACACCTTGAACAGCACGGCTGGGGCGTCCTTATGATGCACGAGGCTGGTAGAAGGCCTTGGATGGTATCTGTTGCTGGACAGGAGATTCGTTCGATGTATGTTGACGTCGAGTGACGATGGCCTTGTACTTATTTGCGCCCTCGGTGTCCCAGTCCTCGTTGAGGGTCTCGACGAGCTTGTGCAGATCGCCCGTTGGTACGTGGTCCGTTCACCTACCAGTGGAGTCCGAGGGGGGGGGGCCGCGATTGCCAGCACCACGAGAAGCATGAGCAACCGAAGTAACCCATGGACCCCAGAAACCTGGCGGCGAGTGTCTCCAAACTCCGAGTTGCGGCGGCTTCGTGCCGAACGTGGGGTCTGAGTGCACACTGCCGCAATGCTTGCAAAGGTTGAAGGCGAGATCGTTCCTCTTGCATGCGCAGACCATATATGCACATTGACCTGTGCTTGGCGGGGGGATGCACTTGCGAGAACCACCTTGAAGGGCGCCAAAGAGTGGTCCAGGGATGAGTTGAGCGAAAAGAGATAAGGCGACGAGGGGTAGCTGCGGGCCTTCACCGCCTTCGCCGCCACCGAAGCGCGGTGGCCCCCACTGCTGCCATCCTGTGGTTCCCATGGCTGCGGAACGAAGGGAATCGTGAAAGCGACAGCTGGTGGAGTCGCGAACTCCTGGCCGGTAAGTCTCAAGAGGTGCCTGAGCACGCCTCAATCGCTCGAGCAAGCTTGTAAGTTCAGGAGCGGGCCCTTTGAGCCAAAATGGCTACGACGACGACGACGACGACGACGACGACTACGACGACGACGATAACGACGACAAGAACGACGAAGACGACGACCGCCTCCAAAAGTCCCCAGAGATCTCTGGAGGTAGAGTGCTATCCCTGCCAGGCCCGAGCCATATTTCCAGTAGGGGCAAATAAAATCACTTGCCGAGCAGCGGGCTCCGTTTCGCCAGGACCCATTCCCGACCACTTTCTCCCTGCATAGATTGCTCCTCCTCCTCCTTTTCCTCCTCTCCTCCTCCTCCTCCTCATCCTCCTCCTCCTCCTCCTCCTCCTCATCCTCCTCCTCCTGACACCGACGCCGCAGAGAGGTTCTAGCAAGCAATGTGGTTAAGCGAGCGGTCTTACCCATGTCCGAGCAGATTTCTGGCAAGCGAATGAATGCTGGCGCGTTTCTGCAATGCTTATCCACTGGTGTTGACCCTGTGAGCTGCTTTAAGGTTGCGGGCCACAAACTTTTGGACGATTAAGGCATAGATGAGCTGGAAGGGTGGGAGCGACAGGGCAGCCGCCACACAGATGTAAAAGCCAAACTTGCGACCAACATCCACCCCAGAGATGAAGCGGCCCTCGAGGCCATCGATCGCACAGTTTCCTTTGTTAAAGCCACTCTGAGGCTGGCGGCTAAAGTTCTGCCGCTGCGGGAGCCCCTGGATCTCTCGGGATGCGAATATATGTGTGCGTGCGCCCCCTGCCCCCTCGGGTCCTGGTCACTCCTGAAGGTTTTGGGCAGGGGCCTGGCGCTGTGAGGTTTGTTTGAGGGGTACTCGTAACCTTGTTTTGTCGTCTCTTGGCTCGCGCACTGGAACCAGCAAACTGCACTCTGGTCGGCTCGAGGCCCTTAGTCATAAAGTGATCGCTTGTGGCTCTGGCGACTCCAACGTTCTCATGATTTGCATCAAGTGTAGGTTGTATTCCTCGGGCATGAGCTTCCGAGGCCTCGGCAAACTCGGCACAAGTTGAGCGACCGCCGCCACTAGCACAGGCTGGAACATGTTTTTTATGCAGCAAGAGCCTGCACCCCCGTAAGAGGGTGGGAGTTCAGGGAACCTCATGCAGTTATTTCAACCCTAACTTCTCGTAAGCAGGGTGGCGTCTCCCACCACCGCTCCCCTGCGCACTGCTCTGGTGAAGAGGAGCTGAGCGGTTTCAAAACGACTCTCATGCTCCTCATCGCCCCCCCCTATCCTCCGCAAGAGGGGAAAGAAGCGCAGTCTCCAACACACAGGGAGCAACTGGGCCCGGGCAGGGACCGCCGATGGCGGCCCCCCGATACCAAACCGCGCGGGCCGGAGAGGCCGCCAGCCGCATCGTCGTTGGAGCACGCTGGGCACCTCGGCCTGGCCCTCTTAACTTCTTTTACACTGGACAAGCTTAAGCTAAAATGCTGGAGCGTACCACGGATGAAAAAGAATGCCGATTGAGGCAGAATGAACAACAAGTTGAAGCTGCGGAGCATGCAGAAAATGACAGGCAACAAGTCATGGCAAGAGAGGAGGTGCCAACAAGGGCAGGAGTAACTTCGCAAGCATGCGTGGGGGAAGGAGGAGATAGGACCAATCGTCCTACGTAACCTGCAAGATGGCGGAACATACTGAGGTACTGAAGGAGCCGAAATACACGGGCCCTCTGACCCCCTCCCCCTCCCCCTCTGGCCGCGGCGGCGAAGAGCCCGAGCGTCCTGGTACCTCCGGACCTTGGCGCACCTCACGATGGCACGGCTCGGATCGTCCTCCATGGGGTCGACGAAGCACGCCTGCGGGGCGCCAGCAGAGAGGGAGGGGGGAGCGGGAGGGGGAGGGGGAGGGGGAGGTGGAGGAGGGGGAGGAGGAGGAGGAGGAGGAGGAGGAGGAGGAGGAGGAGAAGGAGGAGGAGGAGGTGGAGGAGGAGGAGTGGAAAGAGAGGGAGGAGGCTGGGAAGGAGGGAGAGGACGACGAAGGAGGAAGGAGAAGTGAGGAGTGAGGAGTGAGGAGGAGTGAAGAGTGAGGGGAGGGGAGGAGTGAGGAGGAGGAGGAGGAGGAGGAGGAGGAGGAGGAGGAGGAGGAGGAGGAGGAGGAGGAGGAGAACGAGGAGGGAGGAGTGAGGAGTGACAAGTGGAAGGAATGAGTCCCACCAGCCCTCTGAGCGTGAGTGGCTCAGGGGGCGTTCTGTTCCAACCGCCTTTCTTCCTCTCCAGGGAGGGGCTTATCATCCCCTCATTAAAACACACTCTCCCCACCCGACCGGCGACAAACCCAGGTTACTACTACTACTACTACTACTACTACTACTACTACTACTACTACTACTACTACTACTACTACTACTACTACTACTACTACTACTACTACTACTACTACTACTACTACTACTACTACTACTTACTACTACTACTACTACTACTACTACTACTACTACTACTACTACTACTACTACTACTACTACTACTACTACTACTACTACGACTACTACTACTACTACTACTACTACTACTACTACTACTACTACTACTACTACTACTACTACTACTACTACTAATGGTAATACTAATACCACTACCACTGCCACAACCACTACCACTTCCATTACCATTATCAGTACCAGTACTACAACGCGCGAGCACACCGAGATCAGACATTCCCGGGTATGTTTTATCGGAAACCGAATGGTCAGACGTAAGCCAACCAGCTGGCTTTCGAAGATTTTGCGGCCCGACCCCGCTCGAAACATTCGCAAAGGAAGCGCCGCAGGAATCGGACATTTCCCGGTGCTGCCAGGGAATGCGGGAATGTCAGATTTTCCTGGGCTAAGTACTGGTCGCCGGGGAGGGGGTGGCGATGCAGGCCCACGTGGACCAGTGCGCGCACGGCGACGTGAGCACCGAGCAACACCACGCAGCTGGCTGCTCGGAGCCCCTCGTTGGAACAAGCCGTCCTTGAGACACCCTCTGGGGACAGACGCGACCATCGGCCGCGAGACGGGGTGAAGTCAGGAAGAGAAGGCCTACTCAGAAGGCGGCGGGACTTCTCACAAGCCTTCGCGCCTTCGGAGATGCTTTCTGTGTCTTCGGGGGAGGCTCAGGAAACTCCTCGAAGGCCGGGGGACTTCCGAGCCTCCTGAGCCGGCCCGTCCCTTCTCACTTCCCCCCGGGCTCGCCGCCGAAAGCAGCTGTGGGCCAATTCCCCTAGCAGTAGCCTGAGAGGCAAGGTTGCCGAGGGGCCTCGTGGAAGCGGGTTCGAGACACAGGGGCTTTCACAGGGACCAGCTCTGAATCCCAGGCCGCCTTCCGACGACCCTGGGACCCAGAAGGGGATCGGGGAGCGCGAGAGCAGCGAAGAACCTCCAGAGCCCCCCAGACTCCAGGACTCCACGCCCTCGTGGCGGTGCGTTCCGCGTCGCCCTTCCGGCGGCCGCCCGAGGCGATCCCGGCCCACGGCGTGTCCCCGGCCTCTCGCGCCATCCGAGAGCCCCCTGAGGGGCCCTCCGTGGAGGCCTCCCGCAGGGCGCCCGAGGGACGTGCGAGGCCCCGCACTTTCGGAGGCCCGCGCGGATTTTTCCCGGACCGGCGGCTGGGGGCCCCCCCTCCCTGGCGTGCGGAGCGCACCAGGTCCGGCGCCTCCTCCCCCTCCTCCTCCTCCTCCCTCCTCCTCCTCCTCCTCCTCCTCCTCCTCCTCCTCCTCCTCCTCCTCCTCCTCCTCCTCCTCCTCCTCCTCCTCCTCCTCCCCCTCCTCCTCCTCCTCCTCCTCCTCCTCCTCCGCCGCCTCCTCCGCCTCCTCCCTCCCTTCCTCCCTCCCTCCCTGCCTCCTTCCCTCCCTCCCTCCCTCCGAGGGGGGCCGAGCGCCGCGCCAGGAAATCCGCGCGGGGCTCGGGATGTCTCTGTTTACGCGGTTGCGGGTCCTCGGGTGGAGGTGGTCGGAGAATCGCGCCGCATCGCCGAGATGTCGCGGATGCATCGGCGATGCTTCGGCGATACACTATCGGCGTCGTCGGCGTGGAGGAAATCGGGCCCCACAACGAGCCGCGTCGTCGATGCATCGGCGATGCAGCGCGATCCTTCGACCCATGACTACCAACCAGACCACCCCAACCTAGCCCGAAGACCCGAGTTTCGGGTTGGGTTGGGGGGGCACGGGCTCTACATGTGCTCCTTCAAGGCTCCCCGATGCCCCCCCACCCAACTGGGAATGGAGGACAAACTGGGGCCTTCGGGCTGGGCTGGGGTGGTTGGGAGGGTGGTGAATCTGCTCGGACCCGACTCGGGAGGCCTGGACTCGAGAGGCCTCTCGTGGGGGGTGCGCTGGACGCCACCTGGGCCTTCCTGGAGAGGCCGGGGCCACCTTCCCTGGGCCTCTCGGGTCGGACGAACTGGGGGGCAGCCCCGGGGTGGGCTCCCAGACATGATCGCGTCGGGCAAGTTTTGCTTTTTATCGCGTCTGAAGAAAACAGGACGGCAAATTTTTCGCTGGTTTCGGTCCCTTGCGGCCCTCGCCCGTCCCCGGGAGCGTCCAAAAACGACTCAGGACGAAAAACCGGCCCCGGGGCAAGGGCTGGGAATTCCGGGGACGCCGCACTGAAAAGATCGGGACGCCGCATGTCTGGGTTAGCGAATCGGCTCACTCGGCTGCTGCCTCCAGCGCCTCCCGGCGCAGGAGGCGCCAGAAGGCCGAGGAGCGCGCCAATCTAGCACCAGGATAGGCTTAAGTCGGGCCTGTCCTCCTGCAGGCAGGTTCTGGAGGAAAAACAAGAAATACTCCAAAAATACCCCACAATAGCCCGATAACACTTTTTAAAAAATCCCCCGACCATTTTTGGACTATTTCTGAACATTCCTCCTGTAGAGGGACAGGCCCGACCTAGGGAGAGGCCAGCGACTCGGTTCGCGCAGCTGCTTCCTCCAGCGCCTCCCCGCGCCGGAGGCGCCAGCACCTGCCGAGGAGCGCCCCGAGCGGCGGAGCCGAAGCCAGCGGCACGCCGCAGGTCTCGCGACCCCCCGCTCCTGCGCGGTCCGGGCGCTTTGCTCCGCGTGCCGCGGCGGCGGCCCTGGCGACACGCTGTGCCCTGCAAGAGGACAGCGTGTCGCATTACCAGCCTGGAACATATCCCTATCCCCATGCTGGGCACCTCCTCATCACGATGCCAATCTTAGGGATCCCCTTCTTTTTTGAGGGCGAATCCCTAAGATTGTCATCGCCTTTTGGCGTGTCAATCTTAGGGACAGGGATACGTTCGAGGCTGGTAGTCGCTCCGCCCCGCGGGGCGGCAGCGGATATAGAGCTCGGGGCGGTGACGCGGGGGGAGCGGGGGCGGGGACGGCGCGTCGCGGCGAAGCGCGACGGGCCAGGACCGGCGGCGCGGCACGCGGAGCCAAAGATCCTGACCGCAAGTATCCCCCCCTGGGCCGATGCCCCCACAGGACCCTCGCCATCCAGTCCCAGACCCCCTCGGGTAATGAAAAAAACATGACGGGAGGTTTCTGGTTATTTTCGGCCCCTGGGGGCCCTTACCGGCCCTCGGGACCGTCAAGAAACGACTCAGGATGAAAAACCGGTCCAGGGGAATGGGTCGAGACCTCCAGGGGTCGACGTAATGAAAAAATCATGACGTCGGGGGTCTGGGGTTTTCGGGTCGCAGCTCGGGTCCCCGGCGGCCGCTCGGGGCGATGCGGGCACCCCTGGAGCTCTCTCTCGGCGAGGCACAGCTGCTGGAGAGCATCCCGAGGCTAGAGAGCATCCGTCCGTCCCGTCCGAACGGGGCCTCTAGAGGAAGAAGAAGCAACATAGACATAAGCTTTCGACGTTCCTCGAGGATTTCTTGGATCCGCGCTGGACCCTCCCTGGCGCGCGGAGCGCGCCAGGGGCGGCGCTGGAGGCGCCACCGAGGGAGGCCCAGCGCGGCGCGGAGCGCCAAAAGTTGATGCTGGTGGCGTGCGTTATTCTTCGAGAGCCTCTGGCAGCACCCGACCCCCTGCGCACAGAAAGACCTGCCGGCCGGCGAAACACGGCTTAGGTCGGGCATGTCCTCCTATAGGCGGATTTTGGAACAACGAAAATCAAAAACAGTAAAAACATAATCAAGAAGACTCAAAAAGCAATCGAAAAATCGTCCCCACACGATCTTTTTACTACTCTCGAATATTCCCCCTGTAGAGGGACACGCCCGACTTGACGAAACACGGCACGCCTCGATCGCCTCCCCGCCCGCGGGCGTCCGCTGCCGCGCGCTCACGGACGGCTCGCGCTCGACCGCCTGGGGCCCGTCGGGCAGACGCGCGGGCAGAGGGGGCCTGCCGGCAGCGATCCGGGAGGCGTGGGTCGCCGTCGCAGCGCGCGCCGGAACCAGACTTAGGTCGGGCATGTCCCCCTACAGGGGGATTTTGGAGGCAAAATGAAAATGCTCCAAAAATATCCCCAAATTGTTTGTAAAAAATAATCGAGAAATCCTCCACTTTATAGTTTTGACTGTTTTTGAATATTCCTCCTGTGTAGGGACGAGCCCGATTTCAACCCAGACCCCCTCGCGCTGCGCCAAAATCACGGCGGGAGGCTTTTCGCTAGTTTCGGCCTCCAGTTGGGCCCTTCCCGGGCTTCGGGACCGTCAAAAAACGAGACTCGGGATGAAACGCCGGTCCTGGGGAAAGGGGGAGGGAGGAGGAGGAGGAGGAGGAGGAGGAGGAGGAGGAGGAGGAAGCAACAAAAACAATCAGAACAACAAAAAAGCAAATAAAAACTTGCCCAAAAAAGACGGGAGGAACCGTCGATTTGGAAAACTGACGACAACTGAGGAGATATCATGGCCCCGGTCACGATGTCCAGCCCCCCTAGTCATCAACCCCCTCTTGGACGCCCCCGATGTTAACATCACCTGAAGAGCCAGGGCCCCAGATCGGATCGGCCGCGCCTGGGTGCGCGCCAACGCCGCGCGAACATCGAGGCTGGGCCGTCGGAGCATCGGCACTGGACTGGAGCGGGCCGGCCCGGATCGATCGAGCGAACCGGATCGGTCGGATCACATAGAGTGGCCCAGGGATACGCAAATGAACAGACACAAATTCCAGGATTCCCCCTTATGATGTTCGGCCTACCCCCCCATTTCCCGTAGTACCCAGACCCCCGACGTCGTGATTTTTTCACAACGTGGACCCCCAAAGGTCTGGACCCCTTCCCCGGGACCGGTTTTCCATCCTGAATCTTTTTTGACCGCCCCGAGGCCCGGGAAGGGCTCCCGGAGACCGAAAAGAAGGAAAAACCTCCGGCCGTCATCTTCTTCTACAGCGCGAGGGGACCTGGGCATTTCCCACGACGCTCCGTGGAATCAGCGTTTGGTTGTATCTGTGCCTCCTGCTTTTTTGTTCCTCCTGCCCGAGAAGTGGGCCGCGGGAGGGCGGCTTTAGTTGTGTCGCCTGCTCCATTGTTGCGGAGGGCGGCTTTAGTTGTTGCTCCACTGTTACGTTGTGCAGCCCTGGGAGGGCGGCTTTAGTTGTTGCCTCCTGCTTTGGTCGTGTCCGTGCCTGTTTTTTTTCCCCCCCGCTCCGAGGAAAGTGGGCCCTGGGAGGGCGGGCGCATGCCCGCCCAAAGAGGGGCACGCCCGCGGCCATCCCCGGCCTGGGGCGGACCTCTCGGAGAGCCAGCGCCCTGACGTTTTCCCTGAATTTGCAGGGCATGTTCTAATACATGGGACTTTATATATATATATATATATATATATATATATATATACACATATACATATATATATATATATATACACATACACACCTATACGACCACCTTTCGGGTGATAAGGAGGTTCGGGGGGGGGGAGGAACCAACGTCTCACTCGATCGGTCTCACTATCGATCCCACTATCGATCTCAGTATCGGTTTCGCTCGATCGATATCCCTCGATCGATCTCACCATCGATCTCACAATCGATCTCATTCGATCTCACTCGATCTATCTCACACTCGATCTCACTCGATCATCATCATCATCATCGTCATCATCATCCTCATCATCATCAGCAGCATCATCATCAGCATCACCATCATCATCATCAGCATCAGCATCAACATCAGCATCAGCATCAGCAGCAGCATCATCATCAGCATCACCATCATCATCATCACCATCACCATCATCTCATCATCATCATCATCATCATCATCATCATCATCATCATCATCATCATCATCATCATCATCATCATCATCATCATCATCATCATCATCATCATCATCATCATCATCATCGGGACACCGACGGGACACCGCGGGACACCGGCGGGACACCGCGCGCACCGCGGGGACACCGCGGGACACGCGGGACACCGGCGGGACACGCGGGCCACCGGCCGCCCGGAAGGGAGACATTTGGTCCGGCCGCGCCTCGGCCACACGGGACACCAGCGGGACACCGGCGGGACACCGCGGGCCACCGGCCGCCCGGAAGGGAGACATTTGGTCCGGCCGCGCCTCAGCCACAGGAGACTTTCTTCTCGCCCGCCCACGCAGCTTCGCCTCGCCCGCACGCACGGCACGCACGAACACGAAACCGAAATCGATTTCCCGGTAGGGGGGCTCTCCGTTCCACTTCGATCTCACCCCCTCACCTCCGATATATTTGTTTATTAGTTTAACCAAAAAAGGGAAAATGACTAATGCGTGAATAAATTTATGCAGGAGTTCATCGTTGTTTTTGGTACTACATCCCTGATGTTTTCTCTCCATCTGCGGTTCGGCGCCGCCTCTGCGCGGCGCCAGCGCTCCACGGGCAGTTCTTGCGGCGGCGACGGCGTGGCCAGGGCGTCCCGCTGCAGGGGTCGTTCGGCCGTCCGCGCCAGGGCGCCCAACTCCGCAGAAGAAAATGCCCTGGCACGCAAACACCCCCATGTTTTGTCGCCCCGGGTCCCCAGTCGGGCGTTCATTGCCCATCGGTCGGAAGAAGTAGGCAGAAACATGGAGTCGTAAGGCGGCTGAAGCAGATCGGGCTCGGGCCCGCCCAGAGAGTACCAGAACGCACCAAGAGCACGTCGATTCTTGAAGTAGGAAGGCACTTGAAGTAGATTGGGTTCGAATCCAAGAATACCTACTTTCAACGACCGATGGGTAGTGGGGGGGCGATAAAAGGAGGGGGGGGAGGGGAGAAACGTGCACACCTCGTGCCCCTTCTGCGCCCCAGGAAAATCACTTCGAGCCCTGCCATTGGGGCACAGAAAATAGTGCGCCTTTTTTGTTCACCCCCCCACCCATCGCACCCCCCTTACTCGACGCCCGACCCAGAAATCTCGACCCACTCCCGGGACCGGTTCTCTACCCTGGGCCGGCTCTTGTTGACGGGCCCCCGGGGCCCAGCGAGGGCTCGTGGAGGCCGAACGTGGCGAAAAGCCGCCGCCCTGCTTGTTCCCACGCGCGCCCGTTGGTCGGAAGAAGTAGGCAGAAGCATGAAGTGGGAAGGCGTTGGAAGTAGATCGGGCTTCCGCCGCCCCCCGAGGAGGAAGGAAGCGGGGAACCGATCGATCATTGGAGCAGGAAGGCGCCTGGAATGGATTGGGATCTGGATATCCGGAAATACCGACTTTCAACGACCGACGGGTAGGAGCTCTGGGGGCGATCGGCGTTCTTTTGTCCGTGCCTCTCCGGCGGCGCGCCCTAGAGGGCAGCCTTCTGGCAGCCGGAGGGGGCTCCTCGCAGGGCAGTGGCCTCCCTGGCAGAACCTTTGGGGGGGGGGGGGGCCTCGCAGAGGGCCCCATGGGGAGACGGAAGGGGGGGGGACTCATCCTCCTCCTCCTCCTCCTCCTCCTCCATCCTCCTCCCTCTCCTCTCCTCCTCCTCCCTCCTCCTCCTCCTCCTCCTCCTCTTCTCCCCTCCTCCTCCTCCCTCCTTTCCTCCTTCTACTCCTCCTCCTCTCCTCCTCCTCCTCCTCCTCCTCCTTTTTCCTCCTCCTTCCTCCTCTCCCTCCTCCTCTCCTCACTCCTCCTCCTCCTCTCCTCCTCCTCATTCCTAATTCTCATTCCTCATCTCATCATCATCATCATCATCATCATCATCATCATCTCATCATTATCATCAGCAGCAGCAGCAGCAGCAAGCAGCAGCAGCATATCAGTACATCATCATCATCAGCAGCAGCAGCGCCCTCCATCATCATCATCATCATCATCATCAAGATCATCATCACATCATCAGCAGATTCATCATCACATCATCATCATCATCATCATCATCATCATCATCATCATCATCATCAGCATCAGCATCAGCATCAGCATCGCATCCCAGCATCATCATCATCACATCACCACCACCACCACCCCCACCATCTCATTCTCATCATCATCCTCATCCCCTCCTCCTCATCCTCCTACCCTCCTCCTCTCTCTCATCATCCATCATCATCCTCATCATCATCATCAGCCACCACCACCACCACCACCCACCACCACCATCATCATCATCATTCATCATCATCATCATCATCTTCATCATCATTCATCATCATCATCAGCATCATCAGCATCATCATCATCATCATCATCATCATCATCATCATCACCATCATCATCATCATCATCATCATCATCATCATCATCATCATCTTCAGCATCAGCATCAGCATCAGCATCAGCATCAGCAGCATCATCATCATCATCATCATCATCATCATCATCATCATCATCATCATCATCATCATCATCATCATCATCATCATCATCATCATCGTCATCCTACTCCTCCTCCTCATCCTCCTTCTCCTCCTCCTCCTGTAGAATGAGAAATGAACAATCGGACTGGGGCCCAACTTCCAACATCAACAGCACGCTCTGGTGGCTCATCATCAGGGCGTAAACTAGTAGATCTATCGAGCTAGGAGGGCCCCTAGGGAGCCCCTTAGGACCCCGAGGGGGGCTCTGAGGAGGCGGAGGGGGAGTAACACTGGCCGAGATGGGGGGCCGGGGGCGGGCAAACCAGCAGTAGCAGACGGCGAGAGGAGAGTCCCAGGTTCCATCTGCCACAGAACTCACACAAAGAAGTCCGCTGCCCTGGAGGGGATGAAGAAAGGCCGAAGGCCGTGTATATGAAGCACAGGCGTCAGCCGTGCAAAGCAAGTGTTTGAGAAGGCGGAGGAGGAGGAGGCGGAGGAGGGGGATGGAGGAGTGGGAGGATGAGGGGGCGGAGAAAGGAGTTTCTGGCAGGGTGACCATCATGGAGCTCTCGAATGGGGGGAGCGACTGCCCAGAGACAGGGATGCGGCGCAAAGTCACTGTCGAC